TCTTCCAATAGACTTCATACCTCTACAACAAGTCTGATGCCATGGTTTAAAGATATTTGGGGTGTCACTCATTCTGTAGTGGATTTTACCTGTGAGAAGCAGACAAATATTTGTGCCAGGAAAGCAGACTGAACAAACATCATTTATTCGGGATTGTTTGTCCTTCCACTCTCTTAATCATGCTTTTCTGTAGGTACCCTGTTTCCCCAAAAATAAGACAGTGTCTTATATTAATTTTTGCTCCCAAAGATGTTCTAGGTCTTATTTTCAGGGGATGTCTTATTTTTCCATGAAGAAGAACACGGTACACATTTATTGTTAAATGAAAATAAAGGAAATTTATTACCTGTATACGGTACGGTAGTACAGTAGTTGTCAACACAAACCAGACAAACTTTGAATCCTACAGTATCAAGAATTTACTCATTTATTCAATGACAATCATGTCATCATCTTCTGGAACATCATCATAACAATCCAATTCCTGAATTTCCTGGTGAATTTCTTGTGACTCTATTTCTTTCAGAATCAGTAGACCAAATCTCTTATGTTTAGCCTGGGGGGGCCTTATTTTCTAGGGGATGCCTTATAATTCACTCAGAAGGAAACCTGTAAGTAGGTCTTATTTTCAGAGGATGACTTATTTTCGGGAAAACACTGTAGTACCTTTCTAAAAGTACTACTTTAACTTTGGGCTTGACCAATGGCTTTGTTTGACCAATGCATTATAGTGGTGGGAAAAAATTAAAGAGAAAGATTGAAGTTTCTGCCATACATACATTTGTGTTGAAATGATTTTTTAAAAAGGCATCATAATGGTGTGAAAAGAATATATAGAAGTAAACTAGGAGTTCTAGATACCTGAAAATAATTAAAATGGGACCTGAAAGCAAGAAAAATCAAAAGAATGAATAATAATATAGAAACAATGAAATGAATAGTAGAGAAAAATCTCTGTACAATAAGCAAGTAAGTATATTATAGATGGAAAGGTCAGAAAAGAAAACTGTGAAATGTAAACTTACCTTTATAAACAAAAAAATAAAATAAACATTTTGAAAGAGAAGTTTTATGACTGGAAAAAAAAAGGATTCTGAACTCAGACTAAGTTATTACTCTACATTTTAATATGAAAACACCATCTAGAACAAAACACATAAAATGGTATTTGTTTATTCTAGACACTAAAGTAAACATTAACGATGGATGCAGGAATAAGGAGCAAATCATCTGGCTAACTGTACTTTCCTTATCTGAAAAAAATATATAACCTTCCCACAATATAAACTGATGCAAATATGGACAGTTCGGTTGGTTTGGGAAGAGTCTTTGTATCATATAAATTTACAGCAAATCGTTATCTACTTCAGCCTTCAACAAAAGAACAATTTATTTTACTATAAATGATCTTTTCCAGTGATTCTTCACTGCTACATAATATTGATAACTGTTAAAATAATAACTCTTGCTGAAACCGGTTTGGCTCAGTGGATAGAGCGTCGGCCTGCGGACTGACAGGTCCCAGGATAGATTCTGGTCAAGGGCATGTACCTTGGTTGCGGGCACATCCCCAGTAGGGGGTGTGCAGGAGGGGGCTGATCGATGTCTCTCTCTCATCGATGTTTCTAACTCTCTATCCCTCTCCCTTTCTCTCTGTAAAAAAATCAATAAAATATTTAAATAAATAAAAAAATAATAATAACTCTTTTCTCTAGTAAATGCTCTAAAAAAGGGAGGAAACAAGGAAAACTCAACCATTAATTTCAAGGGGAGAATTAAGATTTGTTCTCACAAACCCAATTATAAAATGTATTCTGAAAATTGAATGAATGATCTCTTTGTCTCACTATCTGCCAATTTCTCTTTTTTCTCTGTCTCAAGCTAATAAATAAGTGGAGATACTTTATAGTGCACACACAGAAAATGTGCTTGTATAAGCAATATGTGTGAATATATATGTTTGTGTGTATGCGTGAAATTGCCGTCTAGCTATGTGGTTTTTTAAATTCACTTTAACCCTCTTGAAGATGGTATAGCATCGTATATAACTTTTTAAAACTTTTTTATTGGTTATAGAATGAGAGGAAGTGAGAGGAAGGGAGAGAAAGAGAAGGAAACGTTGATGAGAGAGAAACATCAACATTCATTGCATCCCCTGTGCACCCCTTCGTAGGGATCAAACCTGTAGCCCAGACATGTGCCCTAATGGGGAATTGAACCAGCAACCTCATGGTGCATGGGTCAATGCTCAACCACTGAACCACACCAGGGGCCAGGATACATAACCTTCTTGTGAATTCAGAATACTCTGAGGATACTTTTGGCAACAGTAGAAATGCTCACTGGTCTGTAGCAAAAATTGTTTAGATGGGTGTTGCTTTTTGTTTGTTTGTTTTTCCCAGAGAGTAATTATAGAGTAAATATATTGTGGAAAAACAAAAGGTTATTCAGCATGTGTATTTCTATTCTATGAGTTACAACCTTTATTAATCTTATTTAGATAAAAGTGCTTTTCTTTTTTCCTGAATAACAAGCTGACTTTTTCTATGTGATTGAATTAATGGCAATGGCAAAACTTCAGGCTTTTAGTCAAACATTTCTAAATTCACTTTGATTATACCCTATAAAGTTTCTCCACTGTGTTTTTCACTCCCATAGAAAATTCCAATTCTTATAAATTAACAGGTAAATGAAAGTGTGTGTATTACCATTATAATTCAAAATCATAATACCTAATTATTTGTGGACTGTTGTTTCTCAGGTGTCAGAATTTTTAAGGGTAATTCTATACAGTATTTATATATCTTCATGGTTAACATGGCATGTTGTTTCTGTTAGAATTAGCATGTAGAGTAAGCTTAATATAATTTGTTATTTTAGGATAATTTAATGTGCTTTCTTCCATTGTTAAGCATAGCATACTAACATGTGTTAGGGCATAAATGAATTATATTTGTGTTTAAAGTTACAAAGGTAGATGTGGATATCATATTTATGTTGAAGACAAATATTTAAGCATTGAATTCATGCTTAGGCTATTTAGAATATGCTTTCTACTCTATCAGGTTCTATTTTTAGATATTAATAATATTTATTATCAGAGACATCTTAAGCTCATTGAGTTCATTTACATTTATCATAGTGTCTCTGTTTTTAATTCCCACTTCTATTAATCTTGTAATTCTCTAGCTAGGATATTACCTTTGTGCCTTATATAATATGTACTCAGAGGCTATATTTTACAAATTGTTTGTATTTTTTAATTTTATTAGAGAGAATCTTTCATTATCCTTAATTCTTCATCTATTGAGGACACTGGTATTTCTATGTCTTGGCCAGTGTGAATAATGCTGCAATGCACATGGGCATACCGACTTCTCTGTGGGTTCTTGATTTCAGTTCTTTTAAATATACTCAAAAGTGAGATTAATGTTTACATGGTAGTTCTAATTTTACTTTTTTGAGAAACCTCTATACTGTTTTGCATTGTGGCTGAGCCAATGTATATTTCCACAAACAATGCACACGGATTTCATTTCTTTTCGTTTTTGTTTTTTTTTAATATTTTATTGATTTTTTTACAGAGAGAAAGGGAGAGAGATAGAGAGTTAGAAACGTCGATGAGAGAGAAACATCGACCAGCTGCCTCTTGCATATCACCTACCGGGGATGTGCCCACAGCCAATGTACAAGCCCTTGACCGGAATTGAACCTGGGACCTTTCAGTCCGCAGACCAATGCTCTACCACTGAGCCAAACTGGCTTCGGCAGGATTTCATTTCTTTAGATCACACCAATATTTGTTATATTTGCCTTTTTAGCAATAACCATTCTGGCAGATTGAGATGATATCTCGTTGTTATTTAGATTTGCATTTTTCTGATGATTAGTGATGGTGAACATATTGTCATATACCGATTGGCTATTTAAAAGTCTTCTTTTTGAAAATGTCTCTTTAGTTCCTCTCCCCATGTTTGATCAAATTGTTCAATTAGTGTTTAGTTGTATAAGTTCCTCAATTTCTGAATATTCATCTGTTATTATATTAATGATTTTTAAATATTTGCCCCATCATATAGGTTATTTTTTAATTTAGTTGATTCTTTCCTTTGCTGTGCAGCAGTATTTTAGTTTGGTGTAGTCTTTCTAATCTATTTTTGCTTTTGTTCTCCTGGGCTTTTGATGTCATAGCCAAAAAATTGTTACTATAACCAATGTCAAGCAGATTTCCCCCTTTGTTTTCTTCTTTGAATTTACATTTTCAGTTGTTAATTCATTTTGAGATGATTTTTGTATATAATGTAAGGCAAAGGTCCAATTTTATTTTTTATATGTGAACATTTTATTTTCCCAATACCATTTGATGAAGAAATTTTTCTTTATACATTGTGTACTGCTGGCACCCTCATCATCGATCAGTTGGCTTTATATGTATGGATTTACTTCTAGGCATCCTATTTAATTTCCTTTTTTATTTTTACTTTATTATAAAATTACTTTAAATTGTTTTTAGAAACTGACCAAGAATACAATATAAATAAATATATAAAAACACTATATGTATTTGCCATAATTTTCACCAACTTAAGTTTATTGAATTAAGTAAAAAATCACATTCACATGTAGGCTATATATTCTTTTTTTGTTTTCACTTTGAATTTCACATATTATCTGGAGCAAAAGTGGAGATTGCACGATAGTTTTGCTCAACATCAAAATGCAAAGTTGACCTCCCTCATCTATTTTTCTGTTGTTTCTGGGTGTAGAGTTGAAAAAATATTTTAATTCAGATATCTACAAGTTCTTCGTATGTAAGCTATTTTGCATACAAGTCAAAGTTTATGTAATTCTAGTACTGCATTACTAAGTGATATACTAAAATTTAAAACTTGAAAACAACTTAATGTTATGTTCATTTAATGTATTTAAAATATTTTAATGTATTTTCTTGAAAAATAAACTTATTATCACTGAAATGTTTAATATAAAATACTTTTCAGAGCATTATCAGCTGTATGTTCCTGAGTCAGCTCAAGTTGGTTCAGCTGTTGGGAAAATCAAGGCAAACGATGCAGACACTGGTTCAAATGCTGACATGACATACTCCATCATCAATGGTGATGGTATTGGAATATTCTCCATCTCTACTGACAAAGACACCAGAGAAGGGATCCTTTCCTTAAAGAAGGTAAAATGAGTATAATGTCAGTGATTTAGGCAACTCACTCATTTTTGCATGAATGAAAATTTAGTAGGGGCATGAATAATCCATATTGTCAGGTCAATAAGATGATAAAATATCTCCTCTTTAAAATGTAACTACATTTTAGTTATGCAACATTGTGAGTGGCTCTTTGGATACTCTCTTAGAAATTATATCTTGTATGTTGAAAAACATTATGTTGAATACACCATGAATGTGCCCCTGGTCTTTGTTCTAAGGTAACAGATTTATCATCAATGTCAGTTATATTAATATCATTACTCTATGTTCTAATTGAGTCTTTCCTAAACTATACTAATGTAAAATCTTTACCACAGTATCCAAAACTCTTTAGGATATAGGCTTATACCTGATGGTCATGGATCCATCAAAACAGCTTTGGTAAAACCATTAACCTTATCCCCCATTCTTTTTTTTTAAATATATTTTATTGATTTTTTACAGAGAGGAGGAAGGGAGAAAGATAGAAATCCAGAAACGTCAATGAGAGAGAAACATCGACCAGCTGCCTCTTGCACACCCCCTACCAGGGATGTGTCTGCAACCAATGTACATGCCCTTGACCAGAATCCAACCTGGGACTTTTCAGTCCGCAGACCAACGCTCTATCCACTGAGCCAAACTGGTTTCGTCCCCATTCCTTTTTATTCTTAAGAATTTGTCATTGGATTGCATCAATTGTTTTTTGCTTTTAAGAGTACATAAGGTTCATGTCCATATTTTTTTAAAAAGTGGATCTAATAAAATTACAAAAATTAATTTAAATGTAACGCCTAGTGAAGTGTATCTCAGTCTTTAAATGTTTAATGACTTCAGCTTAAAACTCTACTTATTCAGATCCTTAGACTAATTGTTGTATATTTTGATTCAGAAAGACTGGAGTGGTTAGGGCCAAGGAATTGGCCTTTTTAATTTTTTTTAGTCCTCACTGGAGGACATGTTCTTTTATTGATTTTAGAAAGAAAAGAAGGGAGAGGAAGAGAGAGAAACATTGACCAGTTGTCTCACATATGCACCTAAAACCTGGGTATGTTCCCTGATCAGAAATCAAACCTGCAATCTTTTGGTGTACAGGACAACGTTCTAACCAACTGAGCTATGTACTGACCAAGGTGGAATGAATTGACCTTTTAAACAAATATGTTCAGAACACAGGCTGAGAAATTTTACCCCCATGTGCTATTATAGATATTAACATAAATGTAATTATCTATCTATCATCTGTCTATCTATCATCTATCATCATCTGTCTATCCATCTATCTTTGTTTTGTATATACTTTTCAATTTGCTCTATATAAAAACACATTAATTCTTCTATTGATCACAATTTTATATTGATTTAAAATTCAAGATTTCTGAATGTTATGCAGGGGTCTACAAAGTAGAACTTAAAGTTTATAAAACAGTAGTCATCACTGGTCTGTGTAAAATAATTATATCTTTCAGATTAGCATTATCAGTGTCAGAGTTATTTTATTGCTATGCTTTATGTTGTAAAGTATAGAGATTTAAAACCTAAACTAGATAACTCAGTGTTTTAACCCTGAAGGAGTACTGATTCAGATGGCAAGAAATGGATACAATTCTGTCAAAAATCTGTTCCTTATTTAATCTCTAAAGCAGCTCACGTTAGCCAGCACGGCAGAGCAGCTAACCTTCCCAAAGATCAACATCAGCTGTGCTCTCTAAATCAGCTTGCAGGAGTGCTGCACATTCCTGTCCATATCATTTCTTCATCAGAAAATTGCCAAGTTAAATTCACCAGGCCATGGCATGGCACCTTGAAAACACACGTTGATAACTTTCATTCATTGTTTAATGGAGCCTGACTGGGTGGAAAGGGGGAAAAGTGATAAAGATGAATGCAAGTTGATGCACTTTTTCCTCTGACATAAACCTCTGGCTAGGGATGTGTTTCTTCTTAGGAGTCTATCTCTGAATCCCTTCTTGGGCTTTTTATACCAGTTTGCGCTCTTTATAAAGTTGTTCCATTTTTTTTTTTTCAATTCAGGGTCCCAACCCTATTTGCTCCTAATGAATATCAACAATATCATTTGTAGTATCACTTTTCCTTTTAAACCTATTTAATTATCAACAGATGCCTATTGGTTTAAGCCATAAATTCATGAATTTGTCTCCATATTAATGAAAGATGATGGAAAACATGCTCTTCCTGTCAGATGAAATATAAATTTGGTCCTGTCATTAAAGCAATATATGACATTATATCAAGTCTTTTAATCTTCAGTTTTCTTATGTAAGCACCTTACAAGGTAGTTATTGAACATAGATAAAATATGGTCAAAAGACACTAAGTTTGGCCTGGCTAATAAAAAAGGAAATGGGTTTCACTGTAGCCATACTATATCTAATCCAAATAACCACGTTTTTAGTGGGTTGCGTTTGATATGTTGACATCATTACGTTGCCTGGCATTACATGCAAGACTAAGAATCAGACTGTCCTTTGCCATGAATTGTAAAGTTTTGAGACCATGAACTACAAAGATCAATAAACAAGGCATCCTAAGACATTGTAAGTCTGTAGATAGGCAAATCTATGATCATAATTTGTATATAACAAAAAATAGTTTTCCAATTCTAATGAACTATTTACAAAAATTGAATATTCATTAGGGATTTTATTATTAAAAACCTCAGCCAAAAAGATATTTTTATTTTTAATAGGTTCTAATATCTAGAAAATAATACTCCTGCTCAGCCTGGTGCTGAAGAGGGAGGATTCCTTTTCAATTCAGTGAAAACTATTGCTGTGTTTCTAATAACTTCTGACAGAGAAATGCCAAAATAGTACAGACAAAAATGTGCTCCTTCAAATATAATATAACTAAACATTAATGAAAATGACTAAAAAAACAACAAAACCAGAAACTTAACCACAACAACAGGCAACAGCAAACTTTTCTTTAATAAAATGTAAATTAAATAAATAAATAAAAATCTTCCAGTAACTAAAGAAAGTAAAATCTACAGATTTCTAAATAGCTCCTCAAAACAAATGATTACTTTAAAAATTTTGAGATTTTCAGATAGTTTTTATTTTTTATTTTTGTCTATTAAAAACTTATAAAATATTGTGGTAGCCCAATCTCACCCATGTCCCCATGACCTGAGAAGTTTTCTAGGTTTTAGTTTCTTCATATCAAGTTTTTAAATTAAATGATTATTTTTTCTTCTATGCAATCACCAATCTCTGGGAAGGCCAATTATCCAAGGCAATTCAGAAGAGGTAAGGAAAATAAACACCAGTAAGACTGATCTTACTATTTATAAAATTCCTTAAGGATCCTCATTCTAATCAGCTTCTCCTTGTCCCTTAGGATAAAGGAAAATAGCTGAGTTTCTCCATAGGGAATGATCATTCTCTGAAAATGCCAAGAGAATAGGCTTCAAGATTGAAGCATGCTAGTACAAAATTAGTGACAGAAATAAGGATGAAAAAAAATCTCTTTTTCTTCTCATAGATATTACAAAGGAAGTTCAGCATCAGTGGGTACTTCCCAGGCTCGCATTCAAAGCCTGGTCTCGGCATCAACTGCACTAACATCACCATGGAGACTTTTGACACTGAACTCCATTTTTCTAAGCTCATACATCTGAGCTCATTTTAGGTTGTGGAGTCTATTGTGTGCATCATGCTAAACACTTCCCAAACATTCAATTCTTATCTGCAAAGGTACTTCCTCTTAGAAAAAGGACAGAGCTGCTTACATGCACCTAGGTTTGTATTCTTTTTATTAATTTCCATAGTACCCAGTCTTATAGCACTAAATACACAGTGCTATAAATGTCTGTTTACTATTTTGTATGATACATCAGACCATATATTCCTTGGGACAAAATGCCATATTGACCTTATTTATTATTATATGCTAAGTCAAATTCATTATTGATGACATATGTAATTAATAGAGAAAAATAAATATTGGTTGACAATTTAAAAAAAGAGAGTACACTAAAAAGATTATAAGATTAGTCAAAACTGAAAGCTAAAAAAATAAATGAAACATAAAAACTATACAGAACAAAGTTGATTATACCATAATATCTATAATAATAAAAGTGTAATATGCTAATTAGACCAGATGCCCTTCCAGAACACCTTCCGGAGGAAGCCATGGTGGTGGTGGGGGCTGAGGCAGAGGCAGTAGAGGCCCTGACTGCCAAGGTGGGCTGAGGCCAAGGCAGAACCAGTCACCATGGTGGCAAGGGTCAGCCCCTTGCACAAATTTCATGCATCTGGACTCTAGTAATAAAATAAACAAATAGGTGAAATGCTGTTACTAGCAACAGAGAAAATAAATGAAAAACATAACAATGAAATTGAAATGTCTGTATAAAATTTATTGCAAAATTCCAATAAAATATTTTGAGCTGAAAACTTAAAAGTTTAGTCCAGTTGGCATGGCTCAGTGGTTGAACATTGATCTATGGACCAGATTATAGTTCAATTCCTGGACAGGGCATATGCCCAGGTTTCAGCCTAAATCCTCAATGTGGGGCATGCAGGAGGCAACTGATCAATTATTCTCTCTCATCACTGATATTTTTATCTTTCTTCCTCTCTGAAATCAATAAAACTATTTTTTTAAAGTTTATCAGATTCTAAAATACGATGCAAAGTTTAAAACCAGCAAGGTGAAAAATAAGATATGGTAGATGCAAATCAATGATATGAGATATATTGTTTCTTTGTTTTTTACATTTTAATTTTCTTTAATTGTTTAAGTGCATATATATATATATATATATATATATATATATATATATAAATTTAACAAATCAATACCAATTTTTTAAATTTATCTTTTTACTGTTGGTAGTATTATAGATAATCGCTTTTAAATTCACACTTAATAAGTTAACTTGGCAAGGAGATTACTTGTACAAACTTTATGGTTTGTTTTTAAGAGAAAATAAATGTACTTACATCTATTTAAAACTAGAAAAAAATACTTGTTTGAAAGTGATAACTGTCATGATTTGGATTTTGCATTTTTTTCCCCTGGCAGCCACTGAACTATGAGAAAAAGAAGTCTTACACCCTCAACATAGAAGGAGCAAATACGCACCTTGATTTTCGCTTCTCTCACTTGGGTCCCTTTAAAGACGCCACCATGCTGAAGATCATTGTCGGGGATGTGGATGAACCACCTCTCTTTTCCATGCCCTCCTACATCATGGAAGTCTATGAAAATGCCAAGGTTGGAACTGTCGTTGGAGCAGTTTTGGCACAAGATCCTGACAGCGCCAATAGCTTAGTAAGGTAAGATATGCTTCCACATTTCAGACACCTAAATATTTTGATTGTGTCACAGTAATTTAAAATTTATAAAATAATACTTAAAAATGTTATATCTGTTATTTTTCTGTAATTAAAATTAAATTATGTTACTGGTATTTTATATCTGAGTCATGTAGTAGATGGGTTTCTGTCAAATGAAGAATATATATGTAGCTATACCCATGAGTATGTTTTGGACCACACAGATTAGTTCTTACACTTGACTTAATAGATATGGATATAATTCACTGGAAACATTTATACAACTGAAGATGAGAAACCTTGATTCCTTAGTGATAGGAAGTATAGATACAGAACAAAAGGGAAGGGGGCTGGGAAGAAGGCTTATCTGCCTCCAGGTTCTGACACAATAGCTGTGTTCCTTTAGGAAATTATCCATCCTTACCTGCTATAGGAAAAAAGACTCTCTATCTCTCAGGTATTATGAGAAAGCATTAAGCATTGTGTATAAAGTGTTAAGCAGAGTGGCCTGCACCTAGAAGTCATTTAATAACTGTCAACTTGTCCAAAGCTGACTAGACACTGACACTATCGGATGGCATGTGGGAATTCTGGGGTCTTGACTGACTGGCTGTGTGATCTGATAGAGTTTTTCAACCTTGGAATGTTAATTTCAAAATATATGAACAAGGAATAATAATACTGCATAAATATGCAGATATAATTAGATTAGATTGACACAAAGTAATTAGCACAGTCAGTAAGTGCTCAGTAAATATTTTATTATGTTCGTATCAGTATGTCATGCAGTGGAGATTATTAAAATTTTATTGTATAATCAGAAAGGTTTGTTTTTTTTTGGTCTCAATTATAACAAAATCAAAAACTGCAGACATGTAGAAGTCTTCAGTTACCCTGAATTTATACTCTTAGGTAATCCTAAGGTCTTAGAAGCTGGAAAATCTTAATAAATCTGTCAGCTTGTCCCCATATTTATTTTGATTCTCTTGAGTTCTCTTTATTTTTTTAAATTTTTAAATGTTTTTTATTGATATTTAGAGAGAGAGGAAGGGAAAGGGAGAGAGAGAGAGAAACATCTATGAGAAAGGAACATCATCAATCACACCATCAGTCTGCTGTCTTCTGCATGCCGTCTACTGGGATCAAGCCCACAAGCCAGGCATGTGCACTGACCAGGAATCAAACCTGCAACCTCCTGGTTCCTGGGTTGAAGCTCAACCATTGAGCCAAACCTGTCAGAGTGAGTTCTCATCTATTTTAACAAAGGGTGATAGAGTAACTGTTTCCATTAGTATCTACATAATGTTTGTGAAGGCTCTCAATTTCCTTTTATGTAAGCATGATAGTTTCAGCTTATAAAAAGAAGTCCACAGTACCTATGCATGGAGAGAACCAATGATATGTGCACAAATGTATGTATTCGATATTCCTGCTTTATCTGTGAGTGTAGAAGGAGTACCCTGTCAATGGGTGCCCTCTCTTACACTGAGAGCAAGAGCTGGGATGGCTTGAAGAAGCAAGATATGCAAGCATACAAAATAGTGTGCATAAACCCAGTTATAAAAAATTGGTATGTAAAGGATAGAAGTAAGAGATGACATAATTAGTTTTCCAACCAGAGGAAAGCTTGCTATGCTTCAGCATTACATAGAATGCCAAGTGACTGAACAACCAAACAACTGGTTGAGTGGTAGCTATGGCACATACTGACCTTCAGGGAGAAGATGCTCAACACAGGAGGTACCCCCTGGTAGTCAGTGCACTCCCATAGCGGGAGTGCCACTTAGCTGACCCACGGACACCAGATTCAGGGCTCACGGCTGGCCACTGCAGCCTGGAGACCTCAATGGAGCTGCAGCGTGCCTACTGAACGGCGATGGTGGTGTGGTGGCAGATGCAATAGGGCGGGATGAGCAAGTGTGGCTGTCAGCAATGGCTGGCGGCATTAGACTTCTGGTTTCGGCCCTATCCCCACAGGCTATGCCAAAGGACCCCTTTGGGTGCATGAGTCTGTGCACTGGGCGTCTAGTTTTTAAATGGCATTTCCGATACTTAACAGTAAGTATAATTTGTTCAACTATATTTAAAACTGTAGCATTATAAAGGATATTTGCAAATATGGCCCATCTTTTATCAAAAGGAGCCAAAACCTAAATATTTAATGCTATTAGTTTCACATAAAGTATTTGATAAACTTTAGTAAGACTTTTTTTTTAATATTAAGATATTAATATGCAGCCTGTACCTTTTAATTAAAAGAGGTGGGAGGCACAGTCAGTTTTAATTAAAAGGTACAGACTAAATAATTAGCATTTTAATATTAAAAAGTGATATTTAAAGTACCTTATTTGATTATTTCAATAGTCCTTATGATAAAGAAATTAGCTCATGCACACAACAGCAGCAGCAGTTTGAAGTCCAGTAGAGATAAACTTGAAAAAATTGCATTCTTTGATAGGGTGATAAAGATATGAAAGTGTGCATGGAAAAAAGTGCACACAATCTTGTAGACATAGTGAGTTGAAGATTTTAAGGTTCAAAACCCAAGTTAAGGTTGAGACAGATAAAGAATAGAGAAAATCAATGTAGTATTTATGTATATCAGGAGCATAGGTTACCTGTGTGTGAAGGGCAAGTGATGAGATTGTAGAAAGACATTAGACAGAGGCCATGAAAAGGCTTTGTGCTGACATCTTTAAAATTTATCCTGCAGCAATATCAGTGGGGGAGAGAAGAAGGACAAACCATTATAATCAAAGCAATAATGGGAAGATTTGCAATTCAAAATAAATAATAATAATAATTTTAAATGCTATGAAGAGTGGCATCTATGTGCCCAAAGGGTAGGTCAGAGGAAGAAACATTAAGATCAGGGACAAACTACTTTCACTGTTGCTCTGTAGATGCCAACGTATCCCAAAACATCCATTCCACTTAGCACAGTGGCTCCCATGCAAAGTTTCCCCACTAGAGGACATTTGACAATGTCTAAAGACATGTTCAGTTGTCACAACTAGGCGAGAAATGCTAGTTACCTCTGAGTAGAGACCAGAGATGGTGCGCTTACAACCAAGAATTATCTGGTCCTAAATATCAGTAGTGCTAAAGTTAAAAAACCTTGATACAGAGGAAAACTAAAATGGCTGGTTTACTGGTAAAACTGGAGTGCTAATTTTATTCAGGGAAAGAGATTTTGAAAAGAGATTTTGGGGAAATGTATACCAATGAGTATGTTTCACATTTATAGCCATGTAATATTTCAACTATACACTTTTTTTAAATAAAATAAATTGTTTATGTATAATGGATTGACCCATGATATTATTAATTGCCTCAGTAAATTCTCTGTACTATTGGGAGCATTAATTGAACATCCATTATTTAATTGAACATTTCACTTGTTGGGATGCAAAGATGATTGGTGCATTGACTCCAAATGCTAATATGGAGAACAAATCCATCCGCATATGCATTATTCTTTCTGCTTTGTTTTGGTTAGACAACCAAAGTAAATCCTTCTGAAGCTACCTTAAAATAATTAAATTCCTTAGCTGCTTTTGCCAGGTGTAATTTACATAATATTTATTTCTTATTTCAATAAAAGTATGTCATTCATATGGGCCTCTGGGTGCAAACAGTGAATAAAAAACAGAAAACATTAACAAACACAAAAGCAAGCCTTATACTTTCACCTTTCTTGGGGATTAAACATTTGTACTAATTAAGGAAAAATGCAGTGAAAAGATGTACCTTGCCATGTGCCTTGAAATGCAATTAACTCCAAGTCTGTAGAATTGATAATGAAAGGGAGTTTGAGTCTTTCAGACATTTGTGAAAAGCTTCCTGACTTCTGTCTTTTGTATTTCAATTTTCTAAATTATTAGTAAGACTCTTCAGATTTCTAAGAGCATACCATGTTTAGCTTTTGTTTCTTTCAACTCACAACAAGAATGTGCAATTGGCAGCAGTATAATCACCACATTTGAAAAAGTAAAATCAAAACCAGGCTATTTACCTGCAATGAAGAAACCTTCAATTTAAGCTGGCTGCATTCAATTGCTGGTATGCTGCAAATGGAAATCAGATACTCCCCAGTAGCTGTGGAGAGATGAGCAATATCCTATCTAATAAAGAGGGGATATGCTGATCAACCCTCACTCTGTTGCAAAGATTGTGGTGCTCACAGCCAATAGGGAGGGAATATGCTAATTGACTTTCATGCCCTCAAAAATGGCAGTGCCCACAGCCACAAGATGGTGGGGCCCAGTCCCCTCCATCTTCCCAGGGCTGGCTCAAGGCACAGCCAAGCCTTAGATTGAGGCTGCCCAGCTGCCCAGAGCCGCCTAAGGCTCCAATAACCAGGGCCGGCAGAGGCTTGCGCTGCCTGCAGTGCTTGCAGCAGAGGTGTAATGGGGCATTGCCATCCCCTGATTGTTGGGTTGCCTCCTGCCCCTGAGGGCTCTCAGACTGTGAGAGGGGGCAGGCTGGACTGAGGGACGCCCCTCCTGTGTATGAATTTTCATGCACTGGGCCTCTAGTATTTATGTAGTTTAATCTTCACCTGATGTTATGTCTTTATTGATTTTTTTTTTTTTTTTTTTTTGAGAAAGAAAAGGGAGGTGAGAGAGATAGGGAGAAACATCAATGAGAAACACTGATTGGTTGTCTCCATACAGGATCCAACTGGAGATGGAATCCACAACCTGGGTATGTGCCTTGACTGGGAATAGAACCAGCAACCTTTTGGTGTACAGGACAGTGTGCCAACAAACTGAGCCATCTGGCCAGAGAATATGAACAATCTTTAGTTGAACAAGAAGAGCTAGAGAGCTTTCTGGAAATGTGATCTTGTGACTATTAAAAATAGTGATCATTTATGGCTTGTTGTCTATAAGCTAGGGGCTTTATATAGCATTTCAAGAACCCGTGTAAGAGCTCTAAGGGGTCTACAGATGAAGAAACTAACGCTCGAAATGTTAAGTAATTTGGCCAAATTTATA